TCGACTTACAAAACTGTAAGCGGAGACCAGTGGCGTAGCCAGGGGGGAGGGGGGATATATCCCCCCTTCGTCATTGAACTACAATTATTTACTTTTGAATTAATAACACAATACTATTTTATCCTTCTGATTTAAAATTTTTTTTTATTTCAGACTGATGACAAATTATCTTTTAATGAATATATGAGTAGTCTACTTGCAAACAGCGTTATGTGATTTTATAAAAGTAAACCATAAATTAAAAAAAAACGTCTACGACAACAAGTAACATCCGAACTGTATCTTTTTTTATTACCTGAAATCTTGGATAAATAAGAGCCTACACTGAGGGAAATAATGCATAGTAAAAATGAATATTTTATATTTGATTATCGTTTAAAAATGTTCGTATTTAAAAATAATATTTTCATACAAAATTTATTACGCACGTATTTGACTGTTCACATCAGAGTATATATGTATATGAGTGAACATACGCACCCCAAGCATGCAGAGCGCCGCTCTGAGAGCAGTGACAACACACACATTCACACATAGTAAATGTTTATCTGTACAAATCGCGTGCTGTGGTGTTGATGGATATTCAACATTTGAAAGCAAATTTATATGCCTGGGTGTAGCTGAGTGCGCAAAGATGCATGCCACAATTTGTTGATATTCAGAGATGGGCAGGGTTCGAATTCTAGTGCAGGCAAACAGGCAAGTTAAATATTTTTTTTTTAGTTTTTGTCTTGATTATTCACTTCACGGATGCTTTTTCAGAACGAACACAGTCATTTTAATATATGCGTAATTGAATTGAATATTTACCAATATACAGTACTTTCGTTGACGTTTATAGTCTGGTAGATTTGCAAATTTTATATTTAAAAATTTAATATTGCAAGTTTTGAAACAGTAACTTTTACATAGCTAGCTTTTTTTAGCTTTTCGCGCTGTCTCCTCTAGGAAGATTGGTTTGCTTCTTTTTTGCGACCTCTTCCACTAGGCACCGAAACTCCCACGTTTACTTGCAGTTTTCTAATTTCATACGAAGAGGAGACATTTGAAAGTGTAGTTAACATTTCATGCTATTTTTTCAGAATATAGAACAATTTTTCACTCTGCTGTTAGTGGACATGAAACCCACCAAATACTAAAAATCTAAAAAAAATTTACATAGCGCACTTTGCAAGTGGACTACTCAATTGTTGAATATGCTATCTTATTTGTCCCTTCTTTTTACACAATTAAGGAGCGGCTGAATGGTTTAACGATGTTAGCGGTACATAATGATGTGCCGATTACAACACAAGAAGTAATTGAAAAAAATGTGTGTTAAAAAACGAAGATTAAAAATCGCTTTATAAGTAATAAGATTTTGTAGACTTGTACATAAATAAATGTAAATAGATACGCGTAAATATATAAATATGCAGATATATTCAATGTGTAAAAACTGAAGTGTATACTAACGAAACTTCTACAAAACAAAACTGGACTACACACTAATTAATTAAAATGGTGTAGTAATTTAATTTTTTAAATTTAAATAAAGTAGACAGTAAATATAGAGTAGACAAAAAATATATAACGGTAGAAATGGCACATATGTACATACATATATGAAAAAATGCGAGTTTTTTTTCAAAATCGTAGATCTTCGCTTAGAAAAGAGATAACGGAATGCAGCATTTAACCCTTTAATGCAGAGTCTGTCATATATGAAACGCTTTTTAGCCCTTTCAAGGCAGAGGAAAAAGGTTCTCAATATGCTGTTGAACGTGCTTTTTCTCATGTTGACGTAGATATTAATCGTAGAAAATTTTTCCATAGTAAAATAATAATAAAGAAAAATAAAAAAAAAATAAAATAAAATAAAAAAATAAAAATATTAAAATTAAAAATAAAAATAAATAAAAAGTACGTTGAAAACATATTGAGAACCATTTTGCCTCTGCCTTGAAAGGGTTAAAAAGCGTTTCATATATAACAGACTCTGCATTAAAGGGTTAAATGCTACACTTTCGTAAAGATATCGACCAGTATAACCATTTTTGTTATATACATTTTTTTTTGTGAAAGCTGATAGCTTACGAGTTATTAGAGTTTAAAGGTAGCTTTTCTTTTTCCAATCTGGCCACTCGGGTACAGCATCCAATGTCCCAAGAATCGAGTCTTAAGATAAAATATAGAGAAATCTTACAAAAACAGTGCTAATGGTGTATTAAATATAGTGTTTTCTAATGGAATGGGAGCCAAAGTCCAAAATTAAAAAAAGTGACATTTTGAACGGTATTTTGAGGGTTAAGTTATTGTTGTTGTAACTTCTCTATAGTTTTCCTATATTATATGATCATTTATCTTCACGATAAAAAAAAATTTCATTCCATTATCTCTTTTCTAAGCGAAGATCTACGATTTTGAAAAAAACTCGTGTTTTGCCTATAGTGCGACGCCTCTAGCCATTGTGTATCACAACTTTAAGTTATCGATGCAAATTTTTTTTAGCCTGGGGTCGCCAACATGCCTTCATACCCCGCGCCGTGCCCCGGCATCCAATTACGTAACAGCCGATTTACCAAAAGAATGTGCAAAAAGGGGGAAATTTTGATCGGTTCCCTTCTACCATAATCCGTCGCAGAAATCTGGGTATTATTTGTGTTTTTTGTTGTAATCGATGTATTTCCAGGTAAGCTGAAAGTTGTGGATACCTAAAGCATCTCATGCATTTCTATTTAGAAGTTACCTGAAAATATTCATTGGCTTCTTTGTTTTCTGTGAGAAATGCTTGAGCGAGAGGTTCTGTTTCACAGTATTTAACATGCTTGTCGAAATCCCTTTCAAGTCTTAGAAACGTTTTAGCTATCATGTTGGGTTGCTCCGAGTAATATTTAAGTCCTTCTATTAATACTCTGAAAGCAGTTGATGTTATTTACTATGCTTCTTTGTTTAACATTTTCTTACAAGTTGTGAAATTCGGCAATTTGTTGAAAATTTGTGAAGATAATGTCTTTACTGTCTCGAACAATGCGCGGGGCTGCAGATTTGTCGGTAGGTTTGATGTAACGGTCAACTATGTTTTGTAAATCTCTGCCAAATTCTTCCTCTGTCTCAATGAGTTCTCTTACGGTTGCTCTGAAAAGATTTAATTGCGGTAGAGCATTAGTAGTATCATATTTAAATACATGCATATTCAACAACTATTGATAAAATATAATACAGAGATAATAAACTATACTTCAGAAGACTATACTGGACTTTTAAAGCGTCATAAACATGCACCACAAATAGAAATAAATTTAGAAGACGTGACTATGCAAGAACGCCACTCCCATTTCAAGGCTATATTTGGGTAGATGAATTCGTATTTTGCCAAATTCTGGGATGCTAAAATTCTGAAAGTTATATTTTCCATCATCATTGGTAAAATATATGTATGTAAGCGAGTATAAAGCTTTTAACTTGGACGAATAACAAATAAGACAAATATAATCTATACTTATTATATTAAGAGAAGTCCCTTTTTTTTGTAACAGGTAATCTCGCGAACGGCTGGTCCGATTTTCATGAAATTTTGTATATAAATAGCTTTCGGTAACCACCATGTTTTAGGCTAAAAAAATTTACTTTTGTCGGGTAGGTGGACCAGGGACCGGTCTATTCGAAAAAAATCTAATTATGGTCCGATTTGCTTAAAATTTGGTACGTAAGTAGCTTTTTAGCATGTATTAGCATATATGATCCATTTTTTCCGAGGAGTGGACCAGGGACCGATCTATTCGAAAAAATTATATTATGGTCCGATTTGCTTAAAATTTGGTACGTAAGTAGCATGTATTAGCATATATGATCAATTTTTTCCGAGAAGTGGACCAGGGACCGATCTATTCGAAAAAATCGTATTTACTGTCCGATTTGCTTAAAATTCGGTACGTAGGTAGCTTTTTGCCTGGATAAGCTTATAGATTCCTGTTTTGAAATTTGCATGCAATTTCGAATATAAGAAGGCTTTGAGCAACGACCATATCAAGGGGCGAAGATTTTTTTGCGCCAATCAGAAACAATGGATACAGTCAAAATATAATTATAGTCTATACTAATTATATAAAGAGAAGTCCCTTTTTTTTGTTACAGGTACTCTCGAACGGCTGGTCCGATTTTCATGAAATTTTGTATATAAATAGCTTTCGGTAACCACCATGTTTTAGGCTAAAAAAAGTTTACTTTTGTCGGGTAGGTGGACCAGGGACCGGTCTATTCGAAAAAAATCTAATTATGGTCCGATATAATTATATTTTGACAGTATCCATTGTTTCTGATTGACGCAAAAAAATCTTCGCCCCTTGATATGGTCGTTGCTCAAAGCCTTCTTATATTCGAAATTGCATGAAAATTGGAAAACAGGACAAACAAGCTTATCCAGGCAAAAAGCTACCTACGTACCGAATTTTAAGCAAATCGGACAGTAAATAAGATTTTTCCGAATAGATCGGTCCCTGGTCCACTTCTCGGAAAAAATTGATCATATATGCTAAGTTTCAATTTTGGTCTGCTGTGGTAAGATGTATTTGAGGGCATATTGAATAGTGAAATTCCAATTGGACTAAGCATCTGACGTGAGCAGACGTGTTTTACTTTCGCTCTGTAAAGTTATTAAATTTAATCGGTAATTTTGTTACATAAAATTTTAAACAGAGTGCTAAAAGGTTCGTCTACACGCCAATTGCGACCACTTCTATTTCGTGTATTGTTGGGTGTCTAAATTTATATAAACTGTGCACAATCATTGCCGCCTTCAAAGTTCCTGCATCTTTTCCCACTCGTTTGCCGCTGACTTATTAACCGCCGACGCTGCCGCTGTCACCGCTATCGTTTTCTTTTCGCTGCATTAGCTGACTTTGTTCTTGCACTCAGGCTTTTATTGCTGTGGCTCGAAGTGACGGTGCATTTTTGCTATTTTTTACTGCATCTGTACAAGCATGGTGACTCGCACTAAATCTGCGCGCCTGGTCGGCATTTCGCCACCAAAACCACCCACGCCCCAACTTAAAGCGGGTAAAAACGAGAATTGCCCTCCACCTTCATGGATTACACGGCTTGAAGCAAAAATAGAGAATGCAATGGAGCAGATAACTGAGCGACTAAAGGTGTCAGAAGAGCAAATACTGAGCAGAATAAGCGAGATCACAGCTGACCTGTCTAATATAAAGCGGAGTATGAGAGACTTTACGGTGAGGCTTGTGAAAGTTGAGAACGAATGTGCGCAGCTTGAGCAGCTACGTAAAGAGATGTGTGAGCTCAAAGCTAATCTCGCCGTTATGATGAAAAACAATATTTCAGCAGACACCATTGTTAGTGGAATACCTAATGAAAAAAACGAGAACGTGAGCGACATTTTTGGAAAGCTTTGCAAATCGATGGAAGTAAATGCTCCCCCTGTTCGCGCAGCTTTTCGTGTGCGCAGTGGGAAAGACAACACTAAACCTGCGCCTCTTATTATCAAATTGCACTCCCCATTTGATCGGTCTCTGATACTGAAAGCTGCTGCCAAATTTTACAAAACTAAAAAGAGATGTTTTCAGCTACGAGATATTGGAGGCGTAACTCATGGGAATGTTTATATAAACGAATGCCTTACGAAAGGTAATCGAGAAATTATGCAGTATGCGATACTGCTGAAAAAGCAAAGGCGTTTATCAGCTGCGTTTTCTCTCAGGGGCGATGTATATGTTCGTGGGCAACCGGGTAGTGCAGCTGTCAAGGTACTTACCAAAGAGGCAATTGAATCTTTATTAGCAAGCAACAAGTGACTATTTAGTTTTAAGTATTTTATTTTTATCTCATTGTTTAGATTATTAAAAAGAAATTGTATCCTCTTCTATTCTTTCCCCTCTTCCTCTCATGTTCTCTTTTTCCGCTACTTAAACTTTCTCTTAAATCTGGTTTTAACTGTAGTTTCTTACATGTTTTGTAATATTCGCATTTTACAGGGTTTTAAGCGTAATGTTAAGCGTAATGTTCTCTTCTTTACTTGTTTTGCCAATGATGGGTAAAGATAAATACTTTTCCAAGGGCAGAGATACCACTTTTAATATGATTCGCGTCCTAAGTAGGGTAAAATCTGGATTGAAGATATGCCATCTTAATGCTCAGAGTCTACCATCTAAAATTGACGAATTTAGATATATCTTTGAGTCTTCTGATATAGATATTGTGTGTGTATCTGAAACATGGTTCTCTACTTGGCATAATAATGATTCGTTTTGTGTTAATGGTTATACAATTTTCCGGTTAGATAGAGCCAAGCGTGGTGGTGGCGTTGCAGTGTTTGTCAAAAGTAGTCTGTCTTGTTCCCTTAAATGTAAGTCAGAAACTGGCAACTTAATAGAATATCTTTTCATTGAAATAACATCCAAGTATGATAAAATCCTTATTGGTTGCGTATATAGACCCAACAGGCACATTGCCTATGCACCATTTGTTGACTTCATCGAAAACTTGTGTCTTAATTATAGTAACATTGTTATAGCAGGAGATTTTAACAGCGACCTGCTATGTGAAAGTAAGTTCGCGCTAGCCATGCAAAACTTGGGCTTATTCCCTGCTAACGGTTCAAAGCCTACACACTTCACGCAAACTAGTAGCTCTTTGCTAGATATATTTTTTGTTAATGACGCCACAAAGGTTCTGCTATTTGACCAGCTTTCTGTTCCAAGTTTTTCTAAACACGATTTAATTTTTATGACATATGACTTTCAACTGACCTACGATACTAAATCCTATTCTTATCGTGACTTTCTACATATAGATTATAAGCATCTTGCAGAAGCTGTGGAGGAAATTGACTGGGGATGTATCCGCAACTTAATATCTAGTAATGAGCAAATTAACTTCATTGAAGAAAACGTTAGCTCGCTCTTTGATCGGTTTGTGCCCGTTGTATACAAATCAGTCAATGATAAAAAAAGGCCATGGTTCAACAACCATATTAAAAATTTGATATATAAACGCAACAAAGCGTATCGCAAATGGAAGAGTTTCAGAATTTCGGAGAACTATAACACCTTTAAGGCTTGCAGACGAGACGTCAACAAATCAATTAGATTGAGTAAACTAAAATATTATGAGCATCAGTTTAGCACTGCGGTTGGTTCGAGGCACACGTGGAAAAGAATTCGTGAGATCGGGGTTGGGAGCAAAAATCATTCTATTTCCGAATCATGTAATGTTAATGTAAATGTGTTAAATGAGCAATTTGTGTGTTTGCCCGATTCTGCAAATAATATATGTTATGAGAGTTACAATTCTAATTTAAATGTCGTGATGTCCAGTTTTTGTTTTGAATGTGTCGACGACTGTGAAGTAGTTCAGTCCATACTTAGTGTCAAATCCAATGCGGCCGGTATGGATGGTATTCATCCAAAGTTTCTTAAATGTTTATTACCAAGGATCTTACCTTATGTTACTTACGCTCTGAATACCATCTTGACCACGTCAATCTTTCCCAACTCTTGGAAAAGAGCCAAGATTATACCTTTAAAAAAACCGAATGGTGACTACCGACCGATTGCAATATTGCCGTTTCTATCTAAAGTGCTTGAGCGTATCATGCATCGCCAGATAAACACTTTTCTGAATAACAACGCCTTGGTGAACCCATTGCAATCGGGGTTTAGATCCAGTTGGAGCTGCACCACGGCACTCCTAAAAGTGTCGGATGACATAAGACTAAACATTGACGAAAAGCGTGTGACTTTTCTTACTTTACTTGACCATTCCAAAGCATTTGACTCTGTAGATCATGAACTTTTAATCTTGAAGCTCAAAAACTTATTTAATTTTTCAACGTCGGCTTCAACTCTTGTGGAAACATATCTCAGTGATCGACTACAAGCAGTATGTGCCGGTAACACTATATCCAACTTCTTACCTATAACCAGAGGTGTACCTCAAGGTTCTATACTTGGCCCGCTTTTGTTTGTATTGTATATTAACGATTTGTTTAGTGTGATTAAATATAGTGATGTCCATGTATATGCCGATGATGTTCAATTATATGTTAGCTGTCCTCTTAACTGTATTAATGTTTGCATCAGCAATTTGAATTCGGACTTGAGATTTATAAGCAGG